TTATCATTAATATGTTTATTAATTTAAATCTATTTTGATTTTTCATTTCAATTGATCTTTGATTTTTGATGTTTTGTTTATCTGATCCTTCCTCTTTTAATTGATCAATTATTCTTAATTTTTTTATCGTTTTTTTCATTTTTTCAATTAAATAAACTCATCTTATAATCTTCTTATCAAAGTATTGATAACTAGATTGTGACTTTTGATAACATAATTAAGAAAAATACTATTTATAATTCTAAAAAAGGTAATAATATGCTGCCTATCTAATTCAAATCAAATAATTGTGTAATAATAATATTCTTAAAATACATTTTGAATAAATTGTTATGTGCTTCTTATGGGAACAATTTGTAAATAATATTAAATATTGATTTTTCCAATCATATTCATCACAAGAAGGATTTAAAATATTAAATTAAATGAAATTATTGTTTCTATTATTATTACTTGGCAGTTCTGATTTACAAAATTTCTATGCTGCGGATGCTTATGCAAAATGTTCTGAAAATGATGTTTACATATTAAGAGAAAGGTCAAACATTAGAGGGCATTATAAGGATGTAGCATCTGAATCTAATGGTGCTATTATATCAACTGCAAGAATTAATAAATTTATCGGTTCAGCTTTTTTAGCTAGTCCATTAAGGAATTCCATTTACTATTTTTAAAACTTAATAAATAATGTAGGACATATATTCGCAGAGTTGCATGAATCTGTTATTATAGAACTATTGCAAGCATATGAACTAAATAGAGTGAGATTTAGAATGTGGGATTATGACGATAGAATTACTGATATACAAATTTTTGTTATTGGATAAGACAGAATTACAGAGACAGAAATTTTTAATGGATTAGCTAAGGATGTAATGAATATTAAATTTCCTGATTAACTTGTTTCAAAAATTAAATTTTACAATAAAAATGGAGCAAATACTGCAACCAGAAGACTTTCTGTTATTAAAATTTAAGCATTCTATGTATTTTGATATATATAAAATAATGATATCAAGCTTATTAACTATTTTTTTTTGGTATATATATTTTGTAGATTAAATAATTGATAACATACCAGAAATTCGATAATAAAAAGAGATTTTTCTTGATAATCATTAATATTATTGAAAATAATCTTGAAAAGATAAAGAAGTAGAAAAATTATTTTTTAAACTAAATCCGTGTCGAATGCTACATCTACCATTTGATTATTATTATCTACTTGTTAAATTGATCTAAATTATATTCTAATAGATCCAAGTTACACAATTTATCCTGTTGAAATTGACTTAAATTGTTTAAAAACTTTATTTATCACCTGAATCATTTTGCTGTCACTTTTCATTTGTTATAATTCTATTATTTCTTTATTTCATAAAATTTAACCAATTTAGTACTTAATTAAATTATTCTTGACGAATTTCTATCATTTTTAGGACAAACAAACTAACAAAATTAGACTCTATAAGCTATATTAAAAACTATTTAAAATTTAATAATTAAGTTATTTTTATTTAAATTATCATGATGTTTCCCTTTTTTTTAAAATAATTTTTCCACCTTTATAGTTTAAAGCCTTCTCTAAACTTCCATTTCTGTCTAAAAACTTGACCATAATACTAAATAATTTGAATATGGCTATCCAATCATATTAAATTATTTATAAAGTCTTAAATATTTAGGATAATTACTTATTTAAATAATATACATTCTTGAAAACGACTTTTGATATTTATTTATTTAGATATTAATGATTCTAATTTGGTTTAATTTTTAAAGCTAAATAGCATAAAATTTCATATTTAAACTTTGGTAAATTATTGATATTAATAATTCAATCTACTTGCCTATGTGTTAAATTAATTATTTATAACTGATTTTTTTTATTTAATTAAGCGGAAAAAAGGAATAAAGAAATAGGTAATTAAAGAAAAGTCTTAAATAATTTTTATAAAATTTTTCTTATTTAATTGTATCTATATGAGTTATCACATGTTAAACAATTAGATGAAAGTGGTCCATTGCAAGTGTTACAAGTGAAATCACATTATTAGCATTTTAGTGCATATCCATCATCAAAAAAGTTAGAAAATTGGCAAACACATTCATAATTATCAAGTGTTGGATTACTAGGTATTCTGGTTTCAGGACATTCTGTACAAGCAGCTTTTTCAGGACTGTTTGCGCATTCTTAACATGTGTAATAACATTCTATTAATTATAAAATAAATATATAATTACTTGAGCATTCAATGCTATCTGTTAAATCATCATAATATGACGATTAACATAAATACTATCCTAAAATTGTCAAGTATCTATTTGGGCTTTCTAAACAAGTTACAAATCCTGTAGGTTGAGAATTTAAACAGCTTCCACAAGTATAATCACAAACTATGATAATTAATGTAATTTACTGAAACAAATGTTTACAGTCCCATTATTATCACCATAATTATCTTAGAATTCACATTTGAATTCTTCGATCAAGTTACGATTTTCTCCAGAAATACAAGTTAGACAATATTAATTTGTAGTATCATCAGCAGCTTAGAAACAGGTTCGACATCTTGGCTGACATACTAAATTAATTAACTTAGAAAATACATCCGCATATAGTGTCTTTAATTTAATATTCAGCATATCCAATTTTACATGGGCAAAAATTATCAGTTTTAATTCTGAAAGATATACCTTCATCTAA